TGATCAACTACTTGCTTGCTAAAGGACGAATTAGTGAAACGGCCACAGAAATGTGTTCGCCCCATGCCCCACGAGGGGGAAACGGGATTTCACATTATTAACATTAAAGTAGAATCTTTCTTTTATACATATTATGTGCTTTCTTGAATCGTTTTCCCACGTAACTAAAATCTTCAAAGATTAATTAATATTCCCACTTTTTTCTTTATTTCCCCCGTTTCTAAGCACTTATTCGGTTGCAGCCCGATGTTTTATAGCGAAAAGCCTTCCTCGATGCCGAGTGATCTAACCAACATGAATTTTTCTATTCGAACCACTAGTTGTAGATTGGCGCGTTCAAACAACTCTTTGGCTTTATTATATTAGTGTAGATGATCATTCAGCAAGGTAAGCATGCTCATACACTGCATATCTATTGGCTAAGAGCTATTTTATAGAAATCAGGTTTTAATCCTTACTAATGTTATAAATGCGAAAGTAACTCTGTCTGTCTGTTACTCTTTCACGCCAAAAGTACTGTACAGATTTGAATGAAATTTGGTACACAAATGGTATAGACCCTGAGAAAGAACATAGGCTACGTTTTATTGCGAAAGGGGGGTTGTAAGGGGTTTGGGGGGAGGGGGTGAAAGTTTGTATGGAAATTCGTGGGTTTTGAAACTAGAACAATGAAACATTTTTCTTTGACTTTTTGGGAATGGGGGTGGTAGTGGGAGTAAACAGAAACCATTATTCCACGGTCCAATAGAGATTAATTAATTATAACACACTGTTCCCAATTTCCTCAGGATTTTTCCTTCTAATGACACGTGTAACAAGATAAAGATACAAAGACTGTACAAATAAAAACAACCAACACAAGTAGAGATTAGTAGAATACAAATACAAGCAAGCTTAATGAATAAATGTTTGAGTAGACAATTGAACCAAAAAAAATCATCATAACACATTTTATAACTATTAGAAGTATTGACAGAATACAGATAGTAAAGTAAATTTCGTTTTGTGTACTGTTTTAGCGCCGTGGGTCGTGAGGTTTAAAAAAAACGAAAATCCACTACTGGACTTAATTCCTGTTTATTAAATAATTGTATGGGTAGAATTAATATTGGGGACCTCACTCTACAATGTCCGCACTCCGCGACGGTGAAAATGTAACTCTTAGAATATACGAAAGTAATTCCTTATTAGAACTAAAGTGCAACATAGGCACTATTATAATGGAAATATGTAATTATTATGCGTGTGCAGCGTCATCAAAATAACAGTGGAACATTTGCATATAACAGTACGGTACCTAATTTTATTGGGGAGGGGGGAGAACCCTCATTGTTCCAGCGGGTAGTACCAACCCCACCAGCCGAAGTCGACAGTTAACATAGCTCGCTACGGTGCTTTCGAGGGAGCCCTGGGAACACTTTTTGCCCTATAACGAATTCATTTACCATTTCTCAAACTCCAGCCAACTGAGACCGATTGACGCTTATTAAAAGGCAATTAAAAAAATACTTTTAGCTCTGTCAGACCTTTTTATTAAAGTACTCTGAAAATAATTTATCTTCCCAATACGAGCGTCAGCCCTATTAGCGTTATTGGTGCAGAAGTGATTTAGCTAAAAGTTGCTTGTTTACATTATCGCTAAGAACCATTAATCAAAGCTATTGAAGTTATTATAGGCGAAGATTTTTGGGGATGCCGCCATAAACGTGCAATAAAATTGTTACACGCCGATTTCATAAATAAAGAAAGTCGAACTAATTATGTTAAATTGTGTCAAAATATACTCGAATCAAGGACAATAGTGTACCGTGTTTTTCTCTATCTCTTTTCTATCTTCTTCTTTCTTTTTCATGATTTAATTTTTCATGTGTCTCTTTTTATGAGAGGGACTGGTCAGCATAGGTTTTGATGTAAGGTGAATATCCCAGGTTTATCAAAGCGAGATCTAAAGCAGCACTGACAATTCATATTCGCTTTTGACATTTGGAAATCCACAGACTGAAACCTAAATGCAAAACCTTGAACCTTTTCGTCTGTTGACGGACTACCGACCATTTAATATCCAGATTTCGAGCTCGACTTTTTTGTTTCCGTTCTCGAACGCACCTCCCACGCTGAACGCAATATCACACAATGCATTTATATAAATAAAACAGTTTTGGCGAGACCGGCCAGTTTCGCCAAATAGCAACTTCGACGGAACAGATGGCGCTAGCGTAGCAATTTTTTCCTTTGAGGTCAGAGACATCCTCCATCTTTAGTCTCCCCGTAACGACCGAAGCGAACGGGCCGAAGTTAAAGTTTAACTAATTTAAATAAAACACTTTAACGGTTTAAAACGCGATATATTAGTTAAACTTATTTTCGAGCCGTGTCTCCCGTGACCACGGCTGCTGCAAAGCATCCGAAACGTCGGGCCGAAGTTAAAAATAAAAAATTTTTCAAATAAGTTTAACTAATATATCGCGTTTTAAACCGTTAAAGTGTTTTATTTAAATGTGTACTACTCGTATAAACTATAGACAGTATTTAAGTTTAACTAATATATATCGCGTTTTAAACCGTTAGTGTCTTATCTAAATGTGTACTACTCGCGTAAACTACAGACAGTATTTAGTAGTAGTAGTCCTACTGACCTAGGTATGACATCAATTATAATATGATTAGTCAATCAATATTGTTTTTAAATTTATTTGCAATATTTATTTTCGGTCTTTTCTTTTGCCACAAGAGAACCATGAAACGGTGGAAGTAGCATACACAAACATAAATAATGATTTTATATAAGTCGTATGTTTTTGTATCTTCCATGCCTCTACAAATTCAATTTACCGAAATTTTGAACATTCTACAATGCTATTTATCAATTTTGCACTTTACAACTTTTGACGTTTGAAATCGAGCCAAAATACTTTGAGTGGCAAAAACAATGATAATGTAATAACAGAGTAGACTCACGGAAGCAAATTCAATATGTACCTTCTATATGGGCCTATATTTGAACTTTATCTACGAACTCCCTGGCGGGTCGTATTCGTCAAAAATTACGATTGCATAACGCAATCTTAAATCAACACAATTTTAAAACACGCGTAATCTAGTAACCTGGGTATCATGCTAAATTTAAGTTATTAAAATAGGCAAAGAAAAATTCAGAACGCGATATACGTTTATTATTTTTTATACAAGGCCCGACGTCTAAAATTATGTTGCAGTCATATAATTATAATTTAATTTAATCTATTTTGCTAGTACGTCATTCTTTAATAAATTAAATATTTTAAGACTCTTATGTAACCTAATCCATGCATACTATAAGATTAATTTGTATAAAAGATTTTTTTTTTCAAATATCCAAAGCAAAAATAAATCGACAGCGCATTTTCTTGAGATGTAATATGGCTGGGAGATTTCCCTATTCTGTGGACCCCATGATTATCTGTCCTCCTTTATCGTAAAAAAAAACAGCCAATAAAAAAACGCCTCGCTCAAACCACCACACACACCTATCTACCTTACTAGTTACGATTTCGAATAATAATTATACAGAATCTGTGTAGGTTGGAAAAATATAAAGTGATGTTAAACAGAGGCAAAATTTATAAATCCCTAAACACGCCAGTAATTTATAAAGCCAGGCCAAAGGTCACTAAAAGGTTATCCTGAAAGCTGAGAGAACATATTAAAACAATAACGACGTGTCTAAAACCAAACTTATGTATTACGCTAAGATTAATTTAGAATTTTATAAGTAGGCTTTAGATTTAGACTTACTGGTAAATATGAATTTTGAAATTTGACATTATTATAATGCGTTTCGCTGGCGCTAGTGTAGTAATTTTGACATTGACATTAGGGCGGAATCTCCATCATTAGTTACGTTACAGCAAGGAAACGAACTTACATTTAGCCCGGGTTTGAAACCTTATACATCGTGATAAGCATTGAATTATATTAATTACTACACCGATGCGTTACTATTGAAGCTTATCTCAATATTGTTATACTTAAGATTTAATACAAGTTATTGTTTACTTTTGTTAGAACCGTTGTACTGGAAGGATTCTATAGTTCCTAATTTTAACACTTGTGGCGCTACTCTATTTTGCGATAAGTAAATATTGTATTTAAATTATAACAATCGGATATAATCCTTCAACTTTAAAATCAACTGCATTGTATAATTAAAAAATGAATTAATTAACAATCACAAATCGAAACCTTGTACTGTAATTGTAAAATATTATTACATTTATTTAAATCTAAACTGAACTAAAAGTGGGGAGAATATCGATTGATAACAAAACAAACCCAATATTTCACAGAGATGACGCGTCACGTTTCCTTACGGCATATTTTCTGTCTGTTCCATATGAGATGACTTACATCCCTCTTCATTAGGATAATTTATTGTTGTTTGTAGTTCATACACAATGACTATAAATAAACTAATATCAATTTGAAGAGTTCGTTGTTTGAATGCGCTAATCTTAAGAAATACTGGTTCGAATGGAGTTCATTTTCTGATGGTGGACGAAGTTTGATTATATAATATCGCTGCAACTAAAAGAAGCTAAGAAACAGTGGGAAAAATGGTGAAAATTAGTCATCTTTGGGGGCTTCCGTTGCGTGTGTTGCGAATACGGTTCTAGATACCAAAAAATATGTATGGTGAAACCTCTCTGAATGGTCTAAATATAAATATAAAAATGTCCGCCACAGCTTGACAATCTTTGAAGATCAACTCGCAAGAACGACGCGACACGGACTACGTCCTGGGTAACAGCTATATTATGCCCAAGCTATATTTCACGCGGACGAAGTCGCGGGCACAGCTAGTGAATACATATTTCAACATACTCATCACTCATTATGCAAGATTTGACCTGGAAGTATTGACCAATTAATTTTAATCCCTATAAATTGTTTAACAGTTGAATTGATCAAACAATTCAATTTGGAACGTCCAATCATGATTTTAATAATATTTTCACGTAATTATGGACCAATTTCGTGATGAGGGCTATGTATGGTATGTTGGTAAGATCACGTTCGTGAGGTTGGAAGTTCGAGTCTTGGCCATGTATCAAAATATTTGTATTTGTGCACATTTTTGTACATCTATGAAATATCATAGTGACTAAGTTACAATGTCTTAGAACCAAAAGGCATCAAATATGTACACGCTATTGTCGTACTTAGTAGGATTTGGTTGCTCGTAGGTAGCCTAGGTAGGTAGCTAGGTGGGTAGCTAGGTAGGTAGTAACCACAAGTAGTACACTACCGTAGTAAGTACATTGCAGTAGTCTTACAATACTTAATAAAACATTTCTAACGGTCTGAACACTCAATACACATATATGTTTTATTTGACCTGTGCATTAGAGAAACAAGTATAGGGCTCGTTGGTCTAAATATTATTAAATGGGGATTATCGAAATTCCATTCAGCTTACGAACCACCACCAACAGATGAAAAAGCCGTAAAGACTAATCGCGTTTCTGTTTCAGGCCTGTATATCCAATAACAAAGACGACAGCATCTCGTTTAGATGTTATATGATGGGGATATTTAACATTCCATCAAGTGAATCCAGCTAGTCTGTCCTCCTCTAGCATAAAAAAAAATCATACACCCAGTACTTTTTCCTTTAAAAAATATCACATTTTATACTAAACTCGTTCCCCTATAACTATAGAACATAACGCTATATTTTATTTTATGCGACACTTCTGTAGACGCAACAGCGGCTTATCGTCGGAATTTATGCATTTTCAATATAAAAACGGCAAGCCATAAAAACAAGAAAACTGTACCGGCAATGCAGCAGAGATGTACTTTTGTTTTATTTTTTGCGCTCTGTATCTTAGCGTAGCTGGAGAACCGAAGGGTAAAGATTACGAGAGCGACAGTGACGATTTGGGAACGAGTCTCGTGCCGTCATTGAGAAATGATGCCAACTTAGACCTGTCCGTTGACGAGGAATATGAAGATCTTCGCGCTGAACTCTTGGCATACCATTCCGCTCTGTCTTCGCTCACATCGTCACGACGTGAGTATGGATATTCATCTTGTTACCGTCTGGAGAACACCAGGGTCTGTCATTGTTTAAATAAAACAACGATATAAACGTGAATTATATTAGTTGTTAGAACTAAAACTTTTGTAAAACTATGTTTTAGTTCTAACAACTACGGCCCGACGTTTAAATGTGTCGTCGCGGAATTTAAAAATGGAACGATCTTCTACTCCAGGCCTAATTTAAATTTCGAACTGGCTTGCACATAGGAAAAATACTTTGCGTAAAAAACTATTGCTTTAAAATGTCCGCGCATTATTTGAGAAAAGTACTATACTTGCCTTGGCCACAACTAGGCATTGACGGACTCGCGTATGTGTTCAGACCACATACATCAACAGCCCTAGGGTCCACCCGAAGATCAGTGTAGCGTGTAGCTTAGCTGAAGCGTTTTGCCATCTACTACTACCAACTATTACTGAATGATCGCTAAATCTCTGATTAATTTCCATTTTTAATTAAATTTTATTGAATAATATTACTATCTTCTTATTGCGTCTTCTTAAATTATATAAAGCTATGTGATGGCAAATAAAAACAGTTTTCGTTCTTTTAATTGTTAAACGTATTGCGTAAGTCTGCGTGACGTGACGAGAGGTAGGTGGATTCGGTTTCCGGGAAAATTTTCATTTTCAACAATTCCAATTTTTTTTTCATGAATACATTTAAAACCAACAAATCTTTATTAGGAAATCGAGACACGTTTTTTTTGTTCAACCACTAAACCACGTTTTTTATGTGTGAAAAATGTCGTTCGATACCTTATCAATATGAGACGATATTAAATAAGTCATATTCAGCCGATTTTCAATTGTTTTATTGATATTTTAAGGATCTTTACTGAGCACCCCGTGTTGGTCCCGCGGAGGCATTTGTATCAACTATAAATTATGTCCCCGGCACAGACATCTTACTGAAGTACCAGGATGCAAGAACCGACTGAATGTTTGTTGTTTCGTGTGGAACCAATATGAAGTTAGAGATATGCGTGACAAGGGTATCAATAATATCGCGTTTCCATGGCGACCTAAAACTAACTTCGGTGGGGAGGGAATCGTCGTCAGCAACAAGAAGAGAAGCAGGAAGAGGAAAAAGAAGACCACGACTACGGAACCCGCCGATGTTATATATCAGTTTTGAATATATGTTGTTAATATCCGAAGTCTTGTTTTATTAAATAACTTCGGTTCTTACAGAACTTGTCCAGAACTAAACTGTCTTAGCATATCATTGTTTTTCGGGCTGTTCTGCTAACGTGAACGAGAAGAGGTTCCCCACGTTTCGCAGAATTAATTCTTCGATCAATCGAGGAGCTGACATCTCCTGATGATGCCGTCCGCTCCCGATGGAGAAACATCGAGAACCTCCTCTCGCTCACGTCGGCCGAACAGCCCGAATGACAATGATATGCTGAACGATGGCCATGAAAGCCTTACACAGTTTATTAAACCGTCTTATTTTAATATTATCCTCAATGTTCTGAACAGAAATACAATAGATTTAGTTGTTGTTTTCACTTTGAGACTTATGTAATGAATGTCGAAGGAATTTTGTAATTAAAAACCTCAATTGATTTTTACAATAACATTTTTATTACCTTGTCGTGATTATAGAGCCGCCGCGTTTAGTTATGTGGATATATTTGAATATAATTTTCAACATACTAATCAGAAATAGCGAACAGTTCAATTTTGATCCCGAAAAAGATCTCGTTTTAACGAAATTAAAAGATGTATTTGTGCCTGGTATGAATGGGAAACCGCAACTTGGTTAGTTATTTTAATAATAAATAATTTGGGTCTTTAAGAATTACGTCTTTTTCTATAGTTATTCTAATGTAGATATCAATTAAAAATCGATTATAAATTGAATAATATACAATACGGCATGACTTGAACCAACACCCAAAGAATTCCATGCTGTCGCTCTAACCAATAGAGGTACCGTATCCTACAAGTCATTGTCCATTTTTTTTTCAATCTGTTGATATATGCACCTCTCACGCAACTTTTTTCCACTTATAATCGATTTTTTATTAAAATAGCATGTGCAAAATATTTAATTTAAAATATTGTAAATATGTTTAAAATTTCAAGATAAACTTTTAAAGAAATACTATCTGCAATTCTAAAGAACTTTCAAACAATTCAATAATAGAAAAATGCTCTTTAATGTCTAATTTAGTTGTTGTAGATACAGAAAAAGGTTTCCCATGTAAAATTCAATTTATTTGTATGTAAAAATATACCAACTTCGTTATTTAATTTTCTCTCTTTACGAAATATTTTCTCCGCTAATTAGATACTTTGTAATAGGCACAGGCTTGGCTACATGTTGGGCCCGGGGCGGGGTCTGCGTCCATATTCGAAACTGTCCCGACATGAACTTTGATGCTGCGGCGTTTGGGTGCTCCCAGGGCTACAAAGTCTGTTGCCGAGTCATGAAACCTCTGTCTCCTACAGTTGGTATTCAAAGAACGTTCGATTCGGACAAACTCGGTGATTCTCCGAAAAGTCGCGAAGATAATATATTAATATTTCTATTATCTTAAATTAAACTACGTCGTTATTGATTGCCTTTCTTTTTGATACTCTCTATCACCAACTACCTGTAGTAAATTATTTATGTTTTCCCTTCACATTTGTTTGTCTGGTTGCTTTTTAGCGATTAGGCCGCCTTTTATTTATCAACTAGTTCATAAGTTTTTGGTATTATGTAAACAATCCTGTGGCTTTTAGTTTAATAAATAGAAAAATATTTTGAGTAATCAAATAAGTATAATTCTCAAAACTCGTGCTTTAATTTACCGAAAATGCAGATAAAAAATTTGCTATACATACTTATAATATTATAAATACTTTTCAAAAGGAAATTTTATAAAAAAATTGTTTCACCTCATTACCTCGAAATTAAGGGTCGCGTTAAAGTTTGTCTTGTGATCACATTTCCTTAACAAGTTAACAAGATAAACGAAAAGAGGGCTTCTAAGTAACTAACTACGTCAGAGACTTCATTATTGTACCGCTTCATTGCATTTTGAGTTTCAAAGACTAATTTTGACATATATAATATGGTACCCTATCTAGTACCATATTTTATATGTCTAGGGGATTCCCTGTATAGCTTAATCGCGTTTGGGTCTTAGACTGTGGATTTCCGAATATCTACAGGCAAAATAGGTCGACAAGCATCTTGGTTAAATGCTATTGGCTGGTGTATATCACCTACCATCAAGTGATCCCATGCCAAGTTGGTCCTCCTCTATCATAAAAAAAATAGTGAGAGGTTATAATTTGAACCACTTATATCAGATCTACAAATTATATATTTATTTATTTTTTTACATATTTTCTATGTCTTGGCATTTTTGGCAAACAAACACACAATTGATATGAAATCGTGGTTTCCTCACACGGTTGTCATTAAATCACACTAAAAACACTTTGAGACACCGGATTATACTAATGAATGATCTCAAGTTGACTTAGTAAATCCACAATTTCATGCTAAAATGAATAAGAATCCTAAAAATAAATTTCTCGCAAATGCACAGACTAAAACTAGTAGTACACATTTAAATCAAATATTTTAACGGTTTAAAACACAATACATATTTTAGTTAAACTTGTTTGAAATTTTTTTCCGTGTCGCAAAGCATCCGAAACGTCGGCCATAGTTAAAAATAACTCAAACACGTTTAACTAAAATATATCGCGTTTTAAACCATTAGTGTTTTATATAAATTTGTACTACTCGCGTAAACTACAGACATTATTTAGAATTACACATTAACATTTAAGAACGATCTTCACTAAGTTATAAATTATTGTCCCTTACTAACTTTCCCGCCTTTTCCGCCATCTTAGGTGTACATTTTTGGAATATTCCTTCATATATAATACAAAGACTTGATTTCTAATTGTTAAGTCTGTTCAAGGAGCGGTTTGAGATGTGCGTTGATTCACTTATGAAATACACATTCGAAATGTATAGAAAGACGATATAATAGGATTTTAATTAATTCGCATAGATATTACTGGCCCGGTTAGCGAATGACGAAGGAAATTCATATTTGGGTAAAATATTATACGAACGGGTGCCAAAATTGCTGAATAATCTAAAATACCCACTTACTTCGCTTAATAGGAAAGAAAATAATTTTATATAAGATATAAGGATAATACAAAAATTATACTGTTCGACTACCAAAAGAAATATTAGTCTTTACCTTAAAAAAATATAATTTTATACTGTCTATAATATACGCGAGTAGTAAACATTTAAATAAAACACTTTAACGGTTTAAAACGCGATATATTAGTAAAACTCCTTCCAAACCGTCTCCCGTGACCACGGCTGCCGCAAAGCATCCGAAACGTCGGGCCAAAGTTAAAATCATTTCCAAATAAGTTTAACTAATATATCGCGTTTTAAACCGTTGAAGTGTTTTATTAAATAAGTTTCTTTATCTATTTAAGACTGCGCTCCTTTGGTTTGTTTCCTGTGTTTATAATTTCAACTGTAAAAGGCTCTATGCTCTTGTCAAGTTCCTGACGTCCTGCCGGACTCGTTGGTCCATTGATAGCAATAAGTAATCAACAGGGCGAGTCGTCGGGTTTTTTTTTTCAGTTTAAAACGCGAAATATAAAACTTACTCATCTTTTATTTTAATTAAGTCCTCTACCTGTATCTATAGCAGATTTGTCTTTGACCACATCTTTAGTCTCCCAGTGTCCACGGCTGTTAAGGCATCCGAGACTTCGGGCCATATTTAAAATATATTTTAAACATTTGAAAACTTTATTATTTTTTACATATATATTGCACATGAAGGTACTATACAATTTGAAAATCGAAAACAAATTGAAAAAATTTTCGACTCTGGCAGGACTTGAACCGGCATCGTCAGCGTTCAGAGCAACAGCACGGAACGCTGACGACGCCGGTTCAAGTCCGCCCTTTCTTTATTTTCGATTTTTAAATATTTTAAACATTATTTTTAATATACTTCGCTTTTAAAACCGTAAAAGTATTTTTTTTACATGTATACTACTTGCGTAAAATACAGACAGTATTTCCTTAATCACGTATTCTTTGTTTACATATTAAAAACGTATACAAAAGTCCTTGTAAGCCATAATAAATATTTTCCTGTAAGTATATACAACTTCGTATGTAATTTTTGTGCGCCCCTTACACAATATCATGTTTAGCCCCAGGGTTCGGACGGATAAGATGAAACAAAAGAAAACCGAAGCGCTCAGCGTAAAAGACGTAACTTAATGCATGACGATGTCTGTGCCCCTAGTACGAGTTGGTAACGAAAACGTTTGAAGTAAACGAAGGTCATATTAATAAGGAGTTATTTCGATGCGGTATTTTGAATAGAATGGCTTAAAAGTCAAACTCACTTTTCAGCAGACACACAATTACATACTTAAATGCTAACTAATATATAAAGCTAAAGAGTTTGTTTGTGTGTTTAAACGCGCTAATCTCTGGAAGTACTGGTTCGAATTGAAAAAATATTTTTGTGTTGGTTAGAGTATTTATCGCGAAGGCTATATGAGCGAAGAAATAGCGGAAAAGCGGGAAAAACTAGGAAAATTATTCATTTATGTGGGTTCCCGATGCGTACGCTGCGAGTGATTCATATTTAAATTACAAAAAAAAAATGTTCGCAACACTATACGTCTATATTTTTAGATTAACTTGCTACCACGACCGGACGCGACCGGCGTCGTGGGTATCAAATTATAAGATGAGAAGATGTTTGCAAAAGCAAATTTGAATGCCCAAAATAACTATTCTACGCGGATGAAGTCGCTGAAACAGCTACTATAATATAATTGGACCGTGACATAGTTTCCTGTACATAAAATGGATATGAAATGGAAAACTAAATGTGTCTGCTCCAAGTAGGAATAACGAGATTCCATATTCCTAGATGCTCTAAGAAATAACTTGATGGATGAAGGAGAGTACCTATCCATATAAGGTGTCACAAGTGCTGTCAAATGTGATATCGACATATTTTTGGCTTTGCATATTCAGAAATTCACACACTGAAACGCGATTAAACTTCACGGCTTTTCTACTGTGGACGATGGTTTAAAACCCGGACAGAATTACGATATTCC